GCCAGAAGTCCTTTAACAAAAAGCAGTACATGAAGATCCGACCCCTTCTAAATGTACTGTTGGCCTCCTCCGGCTACGTGGACAAGCTCTTCCTGTTCAACTGCCTTCGCACCCACAACTACACTATCGATTGCCAAGAGTTCGAGAAGCGTCTGCAGCTGATGAGGAACATCCTGGCCTACGACTCCAATGCCCAGCGCCTGAAGATCTTCCACAACTCCTTTGCCGACTGGCTGGTGGACGTCAAATTCGCCACCAAGAAGTTCATCTGTGATGTGAACGAGGGCCATGTCATGATCTCCATGTACTATCTCCTAGTTGCCGATACCCTCTGCGCGAACACGGTGCGTAAGTTTGCCTACCATCTTATCCGATCGGGAGAGTATCTAACCAGCCGACACGTCGACCTGGATCTCATCCTGATGCTGCTGGAATCGCGGCTTAACCTGAGCGACTGCTTCTACACGAACCAGATGAACTGCTGCGCCCAGTGCGAGCATGACTTTAAGTACGACATGAATTTCCTGCCCAAGACGCGCGCCATGTTAGAACGATTCCTGGCCAGCGAGCTGAGCGAACCCTTCGCCCAGTTCCTCTGCGATTTCTTCAAACCCAGCCTGCCCACGGATGCCAAGATGCTGAAGCTGCTCATCGAGACGGGCATCAACAACGCGGAATCCCAGAACTCCTGTGAATCCTCTCTTATGTCGCCAGAACTCTCGGAGAAATCCCAGAACATTGACTTTGAGCTGGCCGATCTTCTGCTGTCCAGCGAGAAGAGCTGCTTGATGGAGACCCAGCGGGCTGGCAGTCCATCGGAGCACAGTGAGCCACCGGCCGAGAGCCAGGATGAGAATGCCTCGAGCACTCTGCATCAGCTCTCTGACTCCCATCACATTGAGCTGCACAAGGGCAAGGCTTTGATTCACATCCTGGCCAACGATGGCAACCATCAGCTTCTGGAGCGGGCCCTCAATGCCTGCAAGAGTCCCATCGATCTGGAGATTGAGGATTACAATGGTCAGACGGCCCTGAATATAGCCGCCAGGAATGGACACTTGGAGGTGGTGAAGCTGCTTCTGAGCTTCTCCCAGCCCTGCAACGATGGAACTGGTCGGATGAAGCGGGTGGATGTCAACCATGCCGATCGCGATGGCTGGACTCCCCTGAGATCCGCCTCCTGGGGAGGACATAGTGAGGTGGTGCGTCTGTTGATAGCTCAACCCGCCTGTAAGATCGATCTGGCGGATAAGGAGGGACGAACGGCGTTGAGAGCCGCCGCCTGGAGTGGGCACGAGGACATTCTAAAGCTGCTGATTGAGTCGGGAGCGGATGTCAACTCGGTGGACCGTCAGGGACGCACTTCCCTGATAGCCGCCTCATACATGGGTCACTACGACATCGTGGAGATTCTCCTCGAGAACGGTGCTAATGTCAATCACTTGGATCTGGATGGACGCAGTGCTTTGTGCGTGGCCGCCCTGTGTGGATCCTCTGGTTACAGTAAGGTCATCTCTACACTCCTAGATCATGGCGCCAATACGGATCAGTTGGACAACGATGGCATGTCGCCACTGCTGGTCAGCTCCTTCGAGGGCAACGCCGAGGTGTGCGAATTGCTCTTGGAGAACGCCGCCGATCCGGATCTCGCTGACTTCATGGGACGCACTCCGCTGTGGGCAGCCTGCACGGCAGGACACGCCACAGTGGTCAAGCTGTTGCTCTTCTGGGGCTGCGGCATCGATTGCATGGACTCCGAGGGTCGAACGGTGCTGAGTATCGGTGCCGCTCAGGGAAATGTGGAGACGGTGAGGCAGCTACTCGATCGGGGATTGGATGAAACGCACAGGGATAATGCTGGATGGACACCGCTGCACTACGCCGCCTTCGAGGGATTCCACGAGGTTTGCCTGCAGCTGCTGGAATCGGGGGCCAAGATCGATGAGTGCGACAACGAGGGAAAGACCGCCTTGCACCTTGCTGCCCAGGAGGGACGACTCCACTGCGTCCAGGCTCTGCTGGACATCCACTCGAGTTTCGTAGACCAGAAGGCCCATGATGGCAAGACCGCCTTCCGGCTTTCCTGTCTCGAGGGCCACATGGACACTGTTGAGTATCTGCTGAAGTTCTGCTGCGATGTCAACTCCAAGGATGCGGACTCCCGCACCACTCTCTACATCCTGGCGCTGGAAAACAAACTGGAGATTGTGAAATATCTGCTGGACATGACCAACGTAGATGTCAACATTCCGGACAGCGAGGGACGAACGGCTCTCCATGTGGCCGCCTGGCAGGGTCATGCCGATATGGTCAAGACCCTGATCGAGGCGGGGCGGATGTGAACTCCATGGATTTGGAGGCCCGCACGCCACTCCACTCCTGCGCCTGGCAGGGCAACCACGACGTGATGAACATCCTGCTCTACTACGGAGCTCTGGCGGATCACGCCTGCAAGCAGGGAGCCACTGCGCTGGGCATCTCTGCCCAGGAGGGACACGAAAAGTGCGTGATTGCCCTGCTCCAGTTTGGAGCCAATCCCTACAAGTCGGACCACTGCGGACGCACGCCCATTAAACTGGCGGCCAAGTCTAGTCGCACCAGCATCCTGAAGATCTTCGAGAGCTACACCAAAAGTAAGAGTCCACCGCGCAGAAGAAGCCTCTTGCTTTGTTACTAATGCTTTCCCTTTTGTCCTACTCCTCTCCTCTCTCCTAGATGAAGCTAGCAATCCCAACGAACCCAAGTTCCATGCCCATGCCAGCATGCTGAGATCTCCGGATCAGCCTCCGGCTCTGCCGCTCCACCAGAACCTGGCCCCGTATCCGGCCCATGCGTCCGCCAACTCAGTCTGTTCGGCAGCCACCACGGCCACGGTGCACAATGGCAGCCACCTGCACGTCCTCAACGCCTCCAGTTCCACGCACAGCTCGAACAACTTCTACCAGAACACCATGCAGTCGGACACGAGCAGTTTGCACAAGCGCAAGAGCGTCATCTCTAGTCAGTCCACGGGCAGCAGCAATGATGTGAGTATCCCTTAAGGGAATAACCCAGTGGTTACCAACAGAAGCAGTGCAGGTGGCTATCCCGCGGGATAGGAAATGGCTCTGTCATGCTCTGGTCTTTGGTATCACTGTCATAGGACAATCCATTATTTAATCTAATCCTTAATCCCCTTTGCAATCCCAACAGCAAGCGCCGCTTACCTTTACCCAGCAATTGCAGCGACAAAGCAAACTCAGCTCACGAAACAATCTGATGGTCAATTCGAAGCACGCCTCCAGTTCAGGAGCAGCAGGACACAAATCCAGTGGTGGTGGTGGAGGGGAGGTGCCCAGCGGCACTCGCAGGTTCTGCCCGATCTCAGCGAGCATCAGCTTGGTAGGTCAACACCATTTTAACACCCAACTTAAAGCTAATCAAATGTATCCAAACAGCATCCAACATGACCAACGAGGCGGATATGTACGACATGGAGTGCATGTCCCCTCTATATGCCACGCCCCCGCATTCACCCAGCAGCGAATTGAGTTCACCAGGACAGCTTCCGGGTCTTAATGCCTTCGCGGATGATGAGAGAGCCGGAACAGCGGTGGTGGCGGCGGTGCCAAGCTGCCGGATAATCATTTCGCGCGAGACACACACATGCGTATAATTCTGGGCAACCTCAAGGAAAACCAGCCCAGCTCCTCGGGTAAGTGAAGTTTTTAAGGAAAGTCACAGAAATAAATAACTAATTCGTTTTATGTTCCCTCAAAAAAGCAAAAGCAAGCGCAGCGGAGTTTCCAGTAATCCCGCAATGCGGCTCATCCGTAGCCGCTTCGATGCCGCCTCCCAGTTGATCCGGCGCACCAACAACATACTCTCCTCCAGCAGCAATCAGGGCTCCTCCAGCATTAGCGTCAAGTCGGGCACCTTCCAGTGGCGCAAGGAGAGTCAAATGTAAAGGGGGAATTAAAAGATTACATATTAGAAGTTCCCCCGAAACTCAACTCACATCAACCTACACACCCACTTGCATACTCAAACCCCTTAAATTAATTTATTTGAGTTTATATACCTTTGTACTTTTGATAAAGTATTTGTTTTTTGTGATAGTTTCAATTTTAGTAAACTTTTTAATCTGTATTCTGATTTAACTAAATATATTTAGGCATACTACCTATACGAAGTAGTTTAAGGCATGCGCCAAGTATTAGGCTAAAGACCCATATATAGAATACTTCATAACATTTTTGGCATGCGAATTGTAGCAGATTCTTCTTCAATGTAGCGAAAAAAGTAACGAAATTTAAATAGATCACGATGACACGAATGTATACTTAAGAGAGCTCAGACCACAGCACTGTTCTCAGAATTAATTTTAAAGTATTTATTAAATCACCTTGCGTAAGACAGAGCAATGGCTTATAATTTAACTATAATATAATTTATGCTGGAACCTCTGAAGTTCTTAAAGCCATACTACTCCAATGCGCATTTATTGGCAAACGGCTATAGAAATGTAATTTATTAATACATGCTACTTTTAAATTAATTACGCTGTTTACGTCAATTCTTTTAAATGCAATCCCCAAAGTACCGAATACCCATTATCCTTTCCCATCATGTGCCTCTGATGGCACCAGAAGATCCCAGAGAAACGATATATGTGTATTATATTGCTCGCACCCAAAACTCAAAGCGGTCCGTTCCTGTACCTTAACACTTGTCACTAATTTTATGTAACCCTTAAGCCGGACACACCAATCGAATACACAGTCGAAGCATTAATTAAATATTTTCTAAAACTCTACTCCCCACTGCAAAGCAGCCAATCACAAACACAGCAAACAACGCACTGGGCTAGATCCGAAATGGAAAATCGAAGAAAAGTTGAACAGCGAAATGTTAATGAACAGAAACAGAACCTAATTAATTGTTAACAAAACCTATAAAATACCGCAGAATACAATTGTTTAGATATACATAAATATATATTTCAAAAGCATATTTACAAGTTAATGATCAGAGTTATTCAAAGTATCATTATTATAATCATAATAGATAACCGAACAGACTAAAATACAATCCGCAGAGATACACACACTACACGAAAAATGCATGAGGGGTCGAAACCAAAGATAAACATTTACATTTGGAAGTAATATACACATGATACCTATACCTAACATATAACTATATATATGAGAATATGTACTTATACATCGTAGTGTAGTAGTTTTGAAAAAGGTTGCGATGAATTATTGACAAAAATTGATACAGGAACATTTACAGAAAATTCTGAGTGTGTTGAAGTTAAAAAATAACAACTTTTTGAGCGAAGCGACGAATAACGAAGCATATACATACATATATAACTCTGAATCCGAATAAACTGTATATTCATACAAATAATTTTAAAGTCTTTCTTTGAGGAATGTGTTCGCTGACTACTTGCTGGTGTCCACAAGTATCTTGGGATTGGCCACATGGAAAACACTGGGCACCATTCCCGCCAGGGTGGTGAACAAGCTCTCCGATATGTCATCAGGCAGTAGCAATTGCAAGGTGCTGAAATGGCAATTCAATTAAAAACTAACCAAATTGCAATACTTTGATAACAAACCTCAATTCGCTCCTCCCCAAGATGCAGATTCTATCATAAATCCCTTGGCACACTTGAAGACCAGCTCTGCTCTGCGGATGCACCACTGGACGGTCATGTCTCGCTCATCTCATGGCGCAGCAGTGCGGAATGGTCAGAGTGGTTATATCATGCCTGCTGGCCGTCTTCAGTATGTTCCTCAGGCCCAAGATCACCGGATGCCGCGAGTTGATCTCACTGGGACTATTGATGGGTTCGTCCGAGATCAGGTGGAAAATTACATGTGTTTGCGAGAGATTCGAGTGCTTGGTGATGAAGAAGTCACCCGTTTTCAGTCTGGGAACGCTCTTTTTGGTCGGCGAGGATGTGGCACTGCCCTCGGCACTACTGTTGCTATTGCTCTGCCACTCGAATCCCCAGTGCTCAGATTCTTAATCTGCTTTTCAATCTTCTCCAGCTGAACATCGATTTGCTCAAAGTGAAATTCGGTGGATTTGTTCGCATTCTTGATGATATTTTTGTTGGCCTGAGCCTGAATCGAAGGGGTCAACACGACGACGCCACACAGGGAACTGGAGTAAAGACCCAGAGCCATGTTCAGACCATTGAGACTCTCCTCGGCGTGCAGTGGACTGCAGAGCTCCGTCACATTGGCGCTGAGGATGCGTATGTTGTGCATGTGCTTCAGCTGGGAGCCCAGATGAATGGTGAAGCTCTCCTCCATCGAAGGCTGTTGCGAGACGAACATCGAGGAGCGATTGCCCAGCGGCGTTGCCACCGGCGATACCTGAAACATCTGACTGACTTGGCTGGTGATCCAATCCCGGTACTCGTTCTTCTGATGACCCATCATCGCCTCCAGCTCCGATTCGTAACGCTTGCGCACGAAATTCTGTGTGGTATACTGCTGGGCCAGCAGATTGTTGATATCCTCCGAAGTGGTGGTGATGTCCAACTGATTGATCTGGCTGTCCATCTCCTGCTGCTGCGAGTTATTCAGAGTTTCCACCTCGCTGTCCATGTGCTCTGTCATGTCGGACACTACCTTGGCATAGGTTCGCTCCCGCTTGAGGATGTCCTCCAGGGAGGAGGAGTGTACCAGCCGGTGGAAACTCTGGGCGAATATATCCGCATCGCTGGGACCAACGCGATCGGCAAACTGCAGCAGTTCCTCCTTGTACAGCCTCTCGGTGTCCCGCACAATGACCTCGATGTCCAGTTCCCCGTTGGCCGCCTGATTGAGCAGCTTTTCAGCATGATCATCCAGAAACTTTTGTTGCTCCGTGTCCACGAACTCCTGCAGCTGCTTTTCCAGATCTTTTGGGATTCACATGACAATTAGAGGTGGTTTCTGTCCATAACATCCCATTACTCACTGATATTCTCGTCCAGATACCGCATCATAGGATCCATCTGGGAAGGAGCCATCAACTGGGTCACGCATCCTCCAATTCTCTTGATCGAAGGGAAAAGTGATGTCCAGCCGAGATTCGCAGTCTTGGCCTTCATGGTTTTTGTAATTATACACAAAAGGCAGCGTGCGAGTGGCAGTGGAGTCCATTTCGGGGCCTTTAGTTGGTGTTTTAGTTAGTTACAGTCATTAATTCGCAAGTTAACGCCCCCTCCCAAAAAGAAATGCAATTAGTATGACCGCACTGCGACCGCTTAAATATACCACGGAATATTACTCTAATTTAGCAGGGACATGAACCACTCATTATAATACACTGCACGAAGGGGGCCCAAACAATACATTTTATTCATTTCTGGAAAAATTTAAATTGTATTTCGGACAGGAACATAACTAATAACCACTGGTTAAATTATTTTTTAGTTTGGTACCAAGCGCCCTCTAAGATAAACTCCGTGATCAAAATTGCATTGATACATGCCAAAGCATATTTATATTAAAAAAAATGGTAGGAGTAGCACACGTCCATTCCAATTTCTAAACTTTCAATATTTTTGCTAGTTTTTGTAAACTCAGTGCTGTTAGACGCAAAATAAGCTGCAATATGCTAAGCTATTATTCCAGGTGTGTACACACTGGTATTTGAATATCCAAGTAACCAAACCGTTGAAATAAAAACTACTCAAGATTTGTTTTCTGTAATCTTTATTAAAAAGTGTAAAAAATAAAAATGAAATAATAAAGTAAGATTAGTCGTATATTTACGCCGATACAGAGGGGAACTCGCTCAGCCTTCTCCATTCTCCAGGGCGCAGACCACCTGAAAGTTACAACTTTTTCCGGTTTTTGGGATTTTCGGAGGATACTTACCCTTTTTGAACGCAAAATGAAGGAACAAAGTCCCAGCGACGGGGCTGCAAATTCAAGTGCGGATGACCTCATCCGTGGCTGCTTTTAGTAGCGCGGCGGCAGTCATTCAGCGCTTCGCATACTTTTCACAGCCAACTTGCAACAGAAATTACAATAATATACATGGTTGTAAATGACATGGTACAGGTGGTGATGGGGTGGACAATTCAAATAAACGGGGAGAATGAAACCTGTTAGGCGAGTAACAAGACAACTCTCAAATGATGTTAATGGCCCGCCCACAACGAACGCTATAGTTTGTAGAACAAAAATTTCTTGGCTGGCTTTTGGACTTGGTCCTACTTGCTTGCTCCTTTTTCTTTACCTCTCCAATATACACATACTCCTCCTCTTTTTCTGATCGAGATCCTTCTCCTGCCGTTGCTGCTACAAAAATAATATACAAAACTACGAGTCTTAGGCTTAGCTAAATAGTTTTGGTTCGGTCGAGAGTTTTTACATCAAATTGCTATATACTTGTATATTTTTTAATCTTGTATTTTTTCGCTACATTAAAATGTAAATTTTGTTAAACATAAGTGCGCTGACACCTCAGACAGACTGCTTGCTAAAAGATATAGATTACAATTAAGTGTTGTTTGTTGATCGGTTACATCTAAACAGCGGGGAAAGGTTAATCCATGTCGACACTTACAAAGAAGTCTAAGTATCTAGGTTCCTCCACACGGTCAGGTTCGCTTGGAACTTGAATAGTAAAATTATTAAGTCTAGGGCAGCGTGCGGATGGATGCAGAAGATCGCCCCGCACGCTCTACTCGATTTAATTCTATGAGAACTTAGTCTAGTGAAGTCGTAAAATGTAATACATGTTTTTTTATATTTTGTGTTTTCTGCTCTGATTATCAAAAGTTGCCAGCAGCCGATGAACTGGAGCTGTCTACAGATACAAATAAACATATCTCTCGGCTGCCGCCTTGAAGTTTTACATAGCTGATGCATTAATGGCTGGTATAATATAGGTTGGTTGTGTGGAGATACAAATGTTTCGCCTGTCGTCGGCTTTTTTCTCTAATTACAATGTTACTTATTATGTTGGTTGGTTGGTTGCTACAATGTGAAATAATAGATTACAATTCTATGGATATTGGATAGTTATCGATGCGCCTCTTAATAATCAATCAATCAATCAGCATGTGCAAACACAAATCGAATGGAATCCTGGCCAGCTGCTGTGTACGTGTACTGCCACTTGCTGTGTGCGATCTCTCTGAATGATTTGTTAGTCTCTTCTGCTTAGCTCACACACTGCTCTGCTCTGTACTGTACTGTACTGCTGCTGTAATGGACTGGACTGGTCTGGTCTGGACTGGCTTGGTACTGATCTCTCTCTGTCTGCTCTAATCCAAGTCTGAACCAAACTCCTTACGACTGCACTGCACTGATCCTGATCAATCTGATCTCATCTCTCTTCTCTGTCATGTTTGGTTTGGTTTTGTGGTGCTCGGAAAACTTCTTAGGTCTATGAACGTGCGTTCATACTCGTTATTGATCATTGAATTGCGTATCGTTTACTTGACTTTGAATTTTGGGCTTATACTGAGCGACTTTTACTTTATCACCTATAAAATGTCGATAAATGAGAAACGTTATTTTAAACAATTGGTATGCACAAAAGGGGTTCTTAATTGGTTGATGGGTTGTTGTTCTCTAAATACGTTTATAGGTAAATACGTAAGGCTTAATTAAGTTTGTTGAGAGTAGGGTGGGTCGGACTGTCTGAGCCGGTTTGCTTTTCATCAGTCCCAATATTATGCTGTTACAAACTACCAAAAACAATGCCGATAAGGGCGCTATTTAAAAACAAACAAAAAAAAAACCATACGTTTGTCAAATCAAACGGAAGGCTGTTAATGGTCATACGGGTTAGATTAGCGTGGGTTGGTTAATGGTCTGACTTCGCTGGGACTACAACTAGGTGTTAGTAGTGGTTATGGGATGTCTCACCTCGTCTGGTATCTCTCTCAATATCTGCGGTTGTTGCCACCGTTATTGAAGCCCTGATTGTTGCCGCCATAGTTGCCTTGATTGCCACCGCCTAAAAGAAAACCCAGGATCGTTAGGAAAACATCCACAATCTGTGTCTCACTTGCTCTCATTCTTATCTAATCACTAAACCACACTGGTGGTGACTACTCTAAATAAATGTAACGTGGCTGCGTGTTAAGCCGTATTGGGTTATCTTACATACGCTTAACATAGCGATGGCCATCGTCAGTTAATCTCACAGTATTTTTAAAAGCTAACTGCTAAACTCTATCGACGTTCTAACAGTTAGGTGTCAGGGTACTGTGTCTCGTTATCCGGTGTTATTGGCTATCAATGTTCTTGGACTGCTCACCTGCTTTGAAGCCACCTCCACCTCCTTGATAAGGTTGCATGCGATTGCTGTTGAAGTTGCCGCCACCTCGCTGAGGGCCGCCGCCATAGTTCTGCTGGTAGCCGCCAAAGTCATTGCCACCACCATTCCAGTTGGAGCCACCACCGCCTCCAAAGTTGCCACCACCATTGCCATTGTCCCAGGGGTTGTTGTTGCCCCAGCTGTTGTTGCCACCGCCATAACCGCCGCCGCCGCCACCGAAGCTGTTGTTGCCCCAGTTGTCGTTGCCTCCGCGGTTGTTGCCCCAGTTGTTGCCACCGCCATTCTGCAATTTCAATTAACCAGCTGTAAAATCACAATTCGAATTGAAAACCACTTAAAGGCACTTACCCAGTTGCCTCCTCCATTCTGGTTACCGTAGTTGCCGCCTCCACCGCCCATATTGCCGCGGTTTCCTCCAGCACGACCTCCTGGGCCACCACGGCCTCCACCACCGCCTCCCTGCTGGTCATTTTGTTGGGCAGGGCCTTCTTCACATCCACCATTTTGCCATTAGCTGATGCTGCTTTTGCACTGAAATTGGAAGGAATATGTATTAATAGGGTCCAAAATAAAATATCAGGATGGGTGCATCCAGTTATAGTGTGCCATATACTCTTTCATCGTTGGTGCACAGAAAAGCACCGACAACAATGATATAATACTGGCTGGGATTTCATCTTACAGTCGCAAACGCCGCATAAGCACATCAAACATTGCTATGCGGAGCTGGGACTGTGGAAATGTGACTAAAATGGAATTATGGGGGAGAAATGTTCTAGGTATATAAATCAATATGGTATGATAAGACTGCCCTTCTGACGGTAGAAACTTTCTATGCAAGTCCTATTAAAATGTTTACTATTGTAACGAGGCTGCGTGTTACACAGAATTGGATTATTAATACATTCGCATAACATAGCTTAGCCGACGCTTTGATTTATCTCACAGCGTTCAAAGGAAAACTATCCAGGTGTCTGTTTCAAACCTGTCAATTTGTCAGTACTGTGAAGTTAAGGATAGGGTTGAGAGTCGAACTAAATTAGGAGTATCTAACATACTTATAATATTAATTAGCTCATTAATCGATTCCTTTTTGTTTATCCAGATGGTAGTGTGCCAAATACTCTTTCATCGATGGTGCATAGAAAAGCACCAACAACAATGATATAATACTGGCTGGGGTTTTCTCTTACAGTCGCAAACGCCGCATGAGCTCATCAAACATTGCTATGCGGAGCTGGGACTGTGGATTTTCGATTATATTTAAGTAATGCAATGTAACGAGGCTGCGTGTTACACTAAATAAGGTCAAAGTTTACATTCGCATAACATAGCTTAGCCGACGCTTTTATTTATCTCACAGCATTTAAAGGAAAACTATCCAGGCGTCGTTATCAAACCCGTCAATTTGTCAGTACTGTGAAGTTATATAGGGGTGGTCTGTTTTGGTAAATTCAGATGGTGGTGTGCCAAATACTCTTTCATCGCTGGTGCACAGAAACAGCACCAACAACAATGATATAATACTGGCTGGGATTTATTCTTACAGTCGCAAACGCCGCATGAGCTCATCAAACATTGCTATGCGGAGCTGGGACTGTGGATCTAATTATCAATTCTAATTTATGGAATTGTAACGAGGCTGCGTGTTACACTGAATAGGGTTCTAATTTACATTCGCATAACATAGCTTAGCCGACGCTTTGATTTATCTAACAGCGTTTAAAGGAAAACTGCCCGGGCGTTTACATGAAGCCCGACAATTTGTCAGTGCTGTGTAGGCATATAAATGATTAGGGGTTGTTTTAACCTGGAGGCCAATGTGGCACATACATTTTCATCGACTGCACATACGGGGTGTCCAGCCAACAAAGATATAATACGAGCCAGATTTATCTAACAGTCGCAAACGCCGCATAAACATATCGAACATTGCTATGCGGAGCTGGGACTGTGGGGACCAGCATCTTTCAGTATGATAGTCATTATCTTTAAAAATGGTCATTCTGCGATATCTTTCAGAACTCGAATATTCCAAATTATTGTAATTGATAAAATGTATACTAAATACAATATAAATCATATTAGATGGTACTGTACACAACAATAGAAGATGTAAGAGAAGTCCTTGTACTTACACACAACTTTGTCCACGGGATCGTAATCGTCGAACTCCACGAAGGCGAACCCTCGCTTCTTGCCCGTCTCCTTGTCCATGACGATGTTGATGTCGACGATGTTGCCAAAGTGCTGGAAGTAATCCCGGATGCTCTGCTCATCATGGTCGTCCTTGAGGGCGCCCACAAACAGTTTTTTCACGGTAGCCCCTGCGTTGGGGGAATCGATGTCCTGGCGTGGAACAGCCCGCTTGGGTTCCACCACGCGGCCGTCGATCTTGTGGGGACGCGACTTCTGCGCCTCGTCAATCATGCTAGAGTGGGAGTAGGTGATGAACCCGAATCCTCGGGAGCGCTTCGTGCGGGGATCCTTCATGACCACCACGTCCACGATGTTGCCCCATTTCTCAAAGTGACCCTTCAGGTTCTCGTCGGTGGTGCGGTAATCCAACCCACCGATGAACAATTTGCGCATATGCTCCGGCTCAGTGATGGAGTCCTAGAGAAAAATCGTAAATTATTGATTTTTTTCTATCCACCAACCGACCTAACCTCACTTTCTGCCCCCGAGACACATGCGTAATTTTCAAAATGGCGACCGGTGAGGTGGGACACCAGCCCGTATAAAACTAGAAAAACCCCACTACCGCAGTACTTACATCATCGTGGCCATTGGAGTTGCCGTTCTGGTTCGAGTTGTTCACCATTTTACTACTTTGAGCGTTAAACTAGTTGTAAATAACTAATTTTCCGTTTTTGAAAATGGAGAAAGTGCCTGACACACACACGCGTCGAGTGAAAAATTTTAAAATAATGAGTGTGACCGTGGAAAGACCTATCAATTATACCTCCGAATCAAAAAATATACTGAATTCGGTTTAATGAATATACCAAAACTAAATTGGTGGGTCAAGGTTTCGGACTTGGGAAAATAGTTGCAATCCAATGTCCTAACCAAAGTGGCGGTTTGCTGTTTTGGAAAGGTGTCAATTTTCTAGCCTTCTGCGGCTTAATAAAGCGGCTTTGTATATTTATGTCTTTAAAGTGGAGCTCTTGAAACCCAAATAAGGTTTTCACGGTTAAAATCTTTTGGAATATTATCCACAAGGCATATCAATTCTGTAGTTTCTGCAGGGGAAAAGTGGAGGAATTTGGTGGTACTTACATCGTCCTGCTGTCCGTTGGAGTTGCGCTTTGGTTCCAGTTGTCGTGACCTCCCATTTCACTGTTCTATAATGTTATTTTATCTGCACTGAATCTGTTTTTCCTTGTAAAACTGGAGACTATGTATTCTGTTGCTAGCTCTGGCGTATTTTCTTTCAATTTAAAATATTATTTCACTGACATTAAACTGCGTGTGTATATTTTTGGCGAGGTACCTTGACACAGTGCTTTCAAAATACCTGTGGGAAGGTCATACAGTTGAAAGGACCACATCTTATAGGCCGATTCCACTAATATTTCTTTATGTATTTTTATTGCAATAATTTAAAAAAAGTAATTGGAATAAATTAAATATAACGATATTATTTAATTTTCAGAAGGTTATATAAAAATGAACTATAAAAAAATCAATTACATTTAATTGTGTTCACTATTATAAATGAAAACAATTGTAAATAATTTAGTTTAATTTTAGCCATTTTTAAGATGTAGCCATTTGATCCTTTTTGGCGCACTTGGGCAACTCTAGTATATGTTTTTTAAAATACCAACTTGCAGAAAAATACCAACAGTGAGTTAGAGAGCTTTTGGTGGTATTTTTCGCCGGACCTGCTGCAGTGTGCCGCACACGTAAGGAATTAAGTTTTTCTGTTTTTATTTTTTTGCCAAAATGCCGAAAAAGAAAACGGGCCAGCGCAAGAAGGCTGAAAAGCAGAAGCTGCGCCTCAAAGAGATTCGCAGCAGGGAAGTGCCCTTGGCTGATTTGCCTTGCAATGCGCCCATGGAATGCGACAAGTGCGAGAAGAAACAGAAGTCTCGAGCATTTTGCTACTTCTGCCAAAGTCTGCAAAGATTGCCGATTTGCGCTCAGTGTGGAAAGATCAAGTGCATGCTGAAGACGGGGGACTGTGTGGTGAAGCATCCCGGAGTCTACACCACTGGACTGGGCATGGTCGGAGCCATCTGCGACTTCTGCGAGGCCTGGGTCTGCCACGGACGCAAGTGCCTCCAGAACCACGCCTGCACGTGTCCGCTGCAGAATGCTGTCTGCCTGGAGTGCGAACGTGGTGTCTGGGAGCACGGCGGCCGTATCTTCAAGTGCTCCTTCTGCAACGGATTCCTGTGCGAGGACGACCAGTTCGAGCACCAGGCCAGCTGTCAGGTGGGTACCCCTCATGGTCCCCATTAGAGGTCAAGCAATAAGTCTCTTTCCGGCTTTGACTTAAATTGTCTTCACAAATTAGAAATGATATTTAGGAAGATATTCAATCCTTAAACGAATTTAATGAATCTTTAGTATCTAGTCAAGCTAAGAAATCCGTCCCTTTCCAACTTTCACCTCAATTATTTCTTTATAACTATTGAAAATAACTCAAGAGAGACTTTGACCGTTGATTAGAAAATCGGACTATGAAATATATAATCTAAGCTATGGTTTTTTCACACTAATACCAATTTACCCATAAGATCAAGACCTTCATTAATCACCCTTCAATTCCAATTCCAGGTGCTGGAGTCGGAGAACTACAAGTGCCAGTCGTGCAATAAGCTGGGTCAGTACTCCTGCCTGCGCTGCAAGACTGCTACTGGAGGATCATGTGCGCCGAAGGGATTCAAGTACGACAAGAATAAGGCCATTCCGTGCCCCAAGTGCAACTACGACACGTCGGTGACCAAGGACCTCAGCATGTCCACGCGTTCGCACAAATTTGGGCGCCAACAACAGGGCGGCAACAGCGACGACGAGGAGGGCTACGGAGGCTACTACGGAGCCAGTGGCAGTGGAGGTGGCTTCTATGGTGGTGCAGCCAGTGGTGGTTACTCCTACGGCGATGATGATGATGATGAGGATGATCCGATGATGATTACGAGGATGAGAGCGATGAAGATGATGATGATGAGGAGGACGAGACCACGGAAAGCGAGCCGGAGAAGGAAACCGACAAAAAGGCCACCAAGTAGGGCTGAATTGTTTATACATATATTCATGGCCTTTTGTTAGATCCACCAAGTGAGTGAGCTCTGGGCTGTGCACTCGTTGCTCTCAATGTAATAGTGAAATAAATTCTTTGTCAAATTGTAGACCTACCAATTCTGCAAGTGGCTGTGCTTCGAAGACGGAAGGTAAATGTGCCAACGAGTTCGGCATAAAATTCCTGGTGGCAGGATAACTGGGGAACTAAGGGTGGGAATGGGAATGGGCAGAGAGGAGCGAGCCAACCCATACGCATATGATGATGGCGATGCCAACGGCTCTGCCAGCGCCGACTTCTCTGTTGATAGACTCATCCATCTCCAATCCACTTACGAGCGCAAATATTTACACAATTTACTCGAAAACGGAGGTATGAGCATATAATATTTCCAAAAACGATGGCAAACACCACACCAAGAGAGAGACACGCACTTCGGCATTTGGGAATGTTTGGCAGTTATGCAGAGCGGAACAGCAACAGCAATGGGATGGGATGTGGGTTGGGGTTGGAGCAGACCCATCATCAGGGCGAAACATTTTAGGCATTGCAAATCAATGAGCGGCTTGATGGAAGGGAGGAGCATAGTTCTTCTGCATATGAATGAAATCATATGTGGCGTTACTTATGTAGGGGAGTCCTGTGCGAGGATGTGAACGGAACGGGAATGGAAGTGGGAGTGGGTGAGTGGCAGGCAAATCAACTGTGTACATAATACAGATTAGTGTGAGAGGATATGGGATGCACATACAGCTGTGGTCAAAACAATAGCGATGCGAATGCAATATGTAAACAAAATTATATCATATTTGGGGATTAAGAGATCAAATGGGAATAGTAAATATAGTTTTCGGAATTTTTGAATATTATCTTAATAACCATTTACCATCTTTTAAATTTACTTTCAATTTTAAACTGTTTAATAATTGTACATTTTCAAAATATTTCATCGACTGTAAAAAGACAAATTAAAATTCGAACCCTTACTCAATTTCTTACATTAAAATTAGTTTTATGAGATGGAATTTTGGGCATTAAAAAAAAAACTTTCAAACATTTTTTAAGAACCCTTGAAAATATGGGATAATTACTACTTTTACTCAGTAGATTTAAATTCTTTTAAATTCTACTGTATCTTACATTTATACAATATTAATATCCTTAATTAGTCTTGCTAGTATCGTAGATTCTGCTGTACTTTCCCATGAACATACTTATGTATAGATCAGAGCCAGCTTAAATATAATGGCTGCCTGCCAGCATTTTGTGTCTGCATTTCAATCAAAATGGCCTGTCTATTCCGGCCGAAGCAATGTCCAAGCCATCGGAGTTAGGGCTACTCAACAAAATTAGAAATGGGGGCTTGGCTAATGGGGGCCTGGGACGGCCATTGCCTGGGTTTCGAATATTTCTGGACACTGGGCTGTGGTGGTCACTGCCAAACATCAATAATAATTTCATAAATGTAATCAGAGAGAGGCAAACAAGACCCCGAGTCGAGTCACAGTGATTGAGCTCTTAATTGCACTGCGATATTAATCCTTGAGCCGCATCTCCACCCTCCGCATCCCACACTCTGTCCAGCCAATTTGGCCACTTCCCATCACGATGGTCGTTTTCATTAGCCGGAGTGCATTCTCAATTACCAGATGGCGAAATGGGTATCGTGTTATCTAACCAAAGTTGGTTGGTCAGTTGGCTGTTTAAAGTCTTTCGGGGATCTCAGGATTGCAGCAGACCGTTGTTACCAAGAAAACTCGCCAATGCTAATCACTTCCGATCAGCATTATCTATTGCTTATTTATCCAAACGTAAATATTTTTGTCAGCCAAAGTCAAGCCATAACAAAAACACAGCCCTGGCTAAGGATTAAGGTGGGAAAATCCTTTGGACAATCCGAAAAACACGTGGAAAAGTCAAAAAGTCCGGCTTATGGTCGAACGCAATTAGCGTTAATTACGATGGGAAACAGTTTCCCATGGTTACGGGTTGGAGGATTCAGGACTCTGGATGCAGCAGGTCCTTGCGGCCACTTGAAGTTCAATTAAATTTCATCTTGCGGCTGCCGTAACGTCGCTGGCTTCAAGTGATTGCGCCAGGGGATTGGATGGTATCATATATGTAGGTCTTGTGGGTGGGGGTAGTTCCTAACGTCATCATCAACATCATCATCCACAACCACTTCGCCATCGACGTTCGTCAAAGCTTGCGATGATTGATGGTGCGTAATTTGGAAAATTAGAACCAGGATACGCAGCAAAAAAGGGGTGGCTCTCGTTTTTTGTATTTTTTTGGCCCCTGCTAATGTTGTTGGCACAACAAGGTGTGTCCTGGTCCGATTGCCGCGTGTCCTGGCCGCCGTTCTCCGCTTGCCGGCGCGTGTTTCGCGTCCAACAAAGTTGCGCGTGGTTATTAGAAAACAATTTAATTAAATATTCACTTGAACCGGCCAACAGGCAGAGGAAAAAGCGTAGGCAGTGCCAGAGCGATGGCCTCACTTTCCCATCATAAAGCGCTCAAACAATGTCCATCAATATTAAACGATGTTGTTCGGTGTCCATTTAGAGCGCTCCAGTTGTCCTTGTTGTTTTAGCCGTCCTCACTGGTCCGTGATGTAATGTGAGAAAGTTTTTTGTTTTTCGGTTTTCGATTTTCGTATTTCGCTCGAATTTCCAGCTAGAGG